GTTTCATACAAGCTTGCCATGTAACACTAAAAAGACAGTCGAAAACATGAAAAAATTATTCACTATATTTTTGAAACGAATACCTATTTAGTACGTTTTGGTATGTTTTGATACGTTTCGGTACTTTTCGGTACTTTTCAATACTTCTGAGTATATTTAGTATTTCAGTACCGATTTTCCCCTTGATGTTCTTTTATCTTCTTTATTCTCATTATCTATTGTAGATGTACGATTTACAGGTAAATATGATGGAAGAATGTTTTATTCTATGAAGAAGAAATTAATTGAAAATATTTTAAATCTCTTTCATAGGCTCGTTTTGCATTGAAATTCATTTCTGGCAAAAAGAAAATGCCCACAAAGAAGGCTATGGAAAAAGACTTGGAAAAACAAATGAAAGAGCTACAAAAGAAGGGTGTCCCCAAACACAAAACGCATCACCTTGGATTGGAATATAAGAACTATTTTGACGATCTGGCATCAACAGCCGGAATTGCAAATGTACCAAAAGTCTATGCAGACATTCTTAAAGATGGATTGGTTCAGAAATCAGAAGATCCAGCTGAATTCCGTAGCAATGTTTACGCTGTTGATAAGAAACGCAACAAATTTTCTAGACAGAAAGTAAAGTCAAAGTTGTAGCTCTTGATACTGTTCATATATAATTTTTATAGCAAATTTCATATTAATTGTATAAGTTCTGAAAATAAAAGTAGCACTTTAATTAAATTTCTTAGAAAATCATGAATAAATTAATTGTCTGCTATATTTTCCTATCCGTCTGCTGCAATCCTTGCCGGCGTAAATATGTAGTAGATGAGCCAATATTGAAATTGAATTAAAACGTTGAAGTCGCTTTGTAGAAAAAAATCATTCATAATTTCTTATTATGGGTGAACCCCACTATGTCAAAACTTCGTCCGATCAAAAAAGTATGCTACAAAGCTGTTCAGAATGATGAGAGACATTTTTCGGGCCCCTGCCCTTCAATTCTCTCCATCCCTTAAGGAGGTCGGGGTTCAAAAACCCCCAAGGTTTGATTTTTTGACCTAAAACCCCGAAATTCGGAATCAGCATTCAAAAATACCTTAGATATGACATTTTTCTCATCCATGTTTTTTCAAGACTTTCAGTGCCTCAAATGGGGTCAAATCTTACAAAGTCGATTTTACACTTTTTTTGGTCCGGAGTTCTTGAAAAAACGTGGATGAGAAAAATATCAATTCTAAGGTATTTTTGCATGCTGATGTCGAATTTCGGGGTTTCAAGTTAAAAAAAAACCACACCTTGGGGGGGCTTTTGACCCCTCGACCACCTGAAGATTATATGCGCGACTCTGTTTATCCAAAGTGCAAATTGTAATTGAGATATGAAGGTAACCGCCCATCGAATTATATTTTGTTGAATTCAAAGTGTCAACCTTTCTTGGTAGTATAATAATTGTTCGAATTTCAGCTAAAATACTTTTTGTATCACATAATAGAATATAACATTACACGTTTTTTCCGAACACAAATACAGTTGAAAAAAGAACGAAAATTGGCTGAATGAAAAAGTAGTGAATTTTTTTCAAAAAGATCGAACAGAAAAAAAACAGATGACCTGGAAAAAAATTCCAATTCTACAAAGCAAAAAAACTCGAATTAAAGACAGTTCGATACAAAACAAAGTTGATGATTCGCTTGAAAGCAACAAAATATAAAAACACCGAGACAATTTCATTTAAAATATATTAGTCCTCTTCTTTTTATTTTCGATGATTACAATATTTTTCTCGGCCATCGTCTGAATGGAAAAGTGTTTCCAAAGATTTGCAAAAATGTTTATGTTTTTTTTCATCTCTTACCAAGTGTTAAATGGCCAGCCTCGAAAAGTTGTGTGCGATAATTTTGTTGTTGTTGTTTTGTTTTTCTTTGCACTTAGTGTTGTCATCAACTTTGAGCGCGTACACTGTTTGCTATGTTTTTGTTTGGTCTTTGCATATCTTTGTTTGCGTATAAATAAGAGACCAAAAGGCGATAGAGTGTGAGAGTTTATCGGAATGGTTTCGGCCAATTCGGCTGCTGTTGATAGACTCTTTAAAATGCCTAAAAAAATGCATCGCTTTAGTACAGCACATTTTAATGGATGTGTTTTAAAATCCATGTTATAAGTTGTGAATCATTGGCGTAATGTCAATTTTCCAACGGATTTAATGTGCTAAGTAGGGTCGACGCTTGAATGGCCATGGTCACAGAAGCGAAAGATTGATAAACGAACACGCTTGTTCATGCGAATGAATTATGTAATTTCTTGCATCCCCTTGGCTTACTCTCATTCCAAACGAACACTGAGTGCTTGTGTTTGCAGTTTTCTTAACATCTTAACGTGGTCTTTTTTTTTGGTGATATGTGTGTGTCTGTGTAAAATTGGTCAAATATAATAACCACAAAAATGTTATCCATTCATCTGCTGGCAAGGTGTTTTGCTACTTCACCGTGCTCATAATCATTATACTGATATATTAATAAATTATGTTATCCTTAACCGTAATTCAAGCTAATCGAAGAGCCAACCTTTTGCTGATGCGGCAACGCGTATCATTTCAAGTGGATTTTTTGGTTTTAGAACGTGCTTAAAATCATTTCCGTCAGAAAAAAACAAGATGCGCTTGTTCCAATGAATGTTGCCAATAAACATTGCCATCACTTATATCTTGTAATCCGGTGAAATTCTCGTTTTTTAAATTCGAAATGAACAAAAAAGAACCAATTCTTAATTTCTTAAGCATTGAAGAGCTAGAATTGTAAGAATACGATCCAATTTTAACTTGGTCGAATGTCGGTTAAACACTCAATTCATTGAGCAACACGAACATCAGCCAACCCAAATCAATACACACATAATACAGGCGCATTATTATTAATAATCCCTAATAATAATGACTTTATCTTTGAAATTGGGAATTATTCCATATCTCGTCTTTTCTTTAACATTCAGTTTTTGTTCCCTTTTTTGCTTTTATACTTCGTTACAAATATTACGTTTTTTAATGCTTTATGAAAATATGCTTTTGACGATGTTTCTATATTCTCATTCAAATCGACAAGCGTTGAGGACTCTTCAGTGAGAAGATGCATTGTAAGTGATTGAGAAGAGAGTACGAAAAAAAATGAACGAACATATAATCCGATAAATGTACGACAAGTCCGCTTTTATCCATCTTTTTCAGTGCTGTTTGACGAGCTATTTCACTCCTTCTGTAAATTAGACGTAATTTGATCCGTATGCAGCAAACCTTCACAAAATACCCTACATTTCGTATATATTTATAATAACATCAGGCACATTTTCCAACTTTCGTTCTTTGCATGCTCTTACCACCAGCAAAATTGTAACCATTTGCAATCGGTTCGAAGAAGAAAAAAATTATGTATTGAAGGACGAAGAAAAAAAATTGAAAATAAAATACAATTTACTAATCATACGCATTATCCTCGAGCGTGAAATGTGGGTAAATGACGGTTATATTGTATCTACAAGTTGTCATTCACGCCACAACTGATTCCATTTTTCTTACCTTCAACGAGGTTTCAATGCAAAATAACGTTCAGAGGGAGATAGAGTGAATAGAGCAGAGATCTGTGTGAAATGATGAAATGAAATTCAATTGAATGATGGCATATAGCATTCAATGAAATCGATACATACAGGCAAGAAGACTGAAGATGTTCTGTTAAATATTGCATTGAATGTAATGCCCGCAAATGAAAACCGAACATGATGATGCAGTTACCCGCAACCCAGACATTTGAATGCCGAGCGAAGAATCGATCAAGCGTTGCCCACAAAAGACGTCAAACATTTTAAAGAAAATCAAACGAAGAAAAAAGAAATCACAGAAAAATCGACACACCAGACTCTTGTGTCTTTCTTTTGAATTTCGGAATGAAAACAAGTCCATCTTAACATGTTTATTTAAACGAGAATGATGAGCACTCTGTTTTCGTTTCGGGTAAATTCGAGTTTTTGTTTCAGTTTTTTTTTTTGAAAAATCATCCGTGACGTATTCTGGTCGGTGCATGAATGTGTGTTGAGCTTTGGTTGCTTTTTACTTCATCATCTGCTATTGTTTCGTTCTATGCTTGTATTCATGATGCGATGCACATGAAAAATGAGCACAACGAAATTAAAATCGCTTCGACAGAGTGCGCACCGACTGTGATACAGCATACAAATATAACTAACTAATACGTTACAAAAGTGTGTACACCGAAAATCACCATGCACCCGAAACCGAATCCAGCACACAACTCACACAGCATAAGACGAAGTACGAAGAGGATGAAAGGAAGACACAGAGAATTAGAAAAATGAACAGAATGAAAAACAGCAGAGAGAAGATGTCTTAATTTATTGTATAGTGTTGCTTCTTTGCTTGTGCCTACAGAGACTTCGTCTCTTACTCTCTCCCTCTCTCTCCCTCATTCTCTTCGTTGCTTTTGTTTTGTTTACCTCTCAATGCCTGTATAGAGTATGGCTCGACAAACGACATATACACAGAGAGTGAGCAAAAGACAGAGAGGACGAGGAGGATGAGTGTGTTGGTGCACAGAAAACGATTTATGCCTCGAATCACATCGTTAATGAATTATGTAATGTCTCTCGAGCGTCTTGCGTTCCATGCCATGTGCACGAATGATTTCAATGCTATTTAGCCACTAGAATGATAATAATGAACATTGAATGTAAGATGCAGCCAGCACCCTTGCAACGAACACGCACCATCTCTGGTTTTTCTCACACACTCTCTCTCTCCCTATCTCACTGTTCCTTTATCTCCCTCTGTCTTTCGCTCCATCATTGAAAATTTTAAATTTACTTTTGCTAAATCAATTTGTTGTTGTGCAAAAGCATAAATCGCGAGCATGGGGAGCACAAGTGAGTAATATCTAATGAAAAATTTACAAAGAGAAACAGAGCTAGATTTTTCCATATCGTTTGATTTTTTTTTCCATAGCGGGCAAGGCGTCGGAGTGGGTGTGGGAAAATTAGTTTTTGTATGTGTAAAAAATGATTCAAAATGCGTCACGTTGAAAATGAATAATCTGTGCGTTTGAATGTTATGCAGCTCCATCTTTTTCTCTGCAATACCATGAATATTCTTGGAATTGTTTTGTTCGCCAGTTTTGTAATAGGCGAGAGTGTTGCCAGTGGCGCGCAAACATTGAATCCATGCATATTCGGTAAACGCATTTTCATATAAATCTTGTTAAAAAATGTATGAACGCATACATACCCCAAGCAAAGGCGTATCAAAGCCAATTCCAAAATCACAAAAACAAAATGGAATCCGCTTGAAGTGTGCGAGAACATTGATATCATTTTGCCAAAGCACCAAAAATCGTTTTAACATGTTCGTCACATCATTTCAAATCTCAACACACAAAAAAAATTCATTCTAACTGCACTTTATACTTTTGTTCAATGGCATTTTTTTTGCTTTCTCGATGAGTTTTCGCCCGCGTTTTATGCACACTGAATGAATGAAACAAATCGACTGGATGAACGGAACGGTTGTGTCGAGGAAATATGTATGTTATTGTAACACATAAATATCATGTTACGCAGAGTGTTTTTTTGTTTTGTGTTTCTTTTTGCTTATTTTGTTGTTGCGATTCAAGTGCATACGATTTTTATTTCCCAGTTCAATGTGCCATTCATACATATTTCAGTATGCTTTTGCTCGTTCGTTCGCATATCGAATTCCAAG